ATATTCAAGGTTCCGAACAAGTATAATTCTAAGTAGTCGTCCATGCTCGTTCTTTTCATGACACTGATGAACACTGGATAATATTATATACAAGAGGCAACAATTTCATGATATTCCTCAGTAAAGAGCACTAAACCAAGCTAATAAGGTTCTCAAGCCTGCCTAAGGACAAAGACTGCAGAATTGGCACAGAGTTCTGTATACTGAGAAGTATTACAGACCGTGATAAGTGAGACCAGAATGATCATTTCTGCTTTACTTGTTATAGACTACTGATCATACCCCAACCTGAGGCTCGGTAGACCCAAGAGTTGAAACTACCACGGCCATATTCGGTTCTTGAGTGAATACTTCGCCACTGAAGCGCGGAATCACGTCCGAGAATCTTAGACGTCACCGAGGAGTGGCGGCCGCTGATCTATCTCGATTGCAGGACTGAAATAAGCTGTAGTTGGCGCAATGGGCAACTGCCCGGGAGAAACAACAAATAATTAATCAGCCTAGTCTACCTCCCTACCCCTAAAGTATATGTGACATTTCAGCAACTGCCCACCGAGATTTTAAAATGGGTTTTAGATTTGAAAAATTTTCTTTATTAGGATTGTGATACTCATTAACGTGCGGAATAATCCTCAAATATTTCCATCCCATCAGCACGCTCAATTTTCAATGAGCGTCGTTGCGGCCGCATGCAAAAAATGCAATTAGCTAAAAATGATTACTTAAGTATTAGTATTTTCCTATTCATTTCGAGGTTCTCATAAATTCAAAATAAATTCTACGGAATGCAGGCACAAAGTATCATTTCTTATACTAATTTAGTTGTATATGTCATTTTCTTCATAGTCTATGCTTGCAGTTTAAAAAACTTTCATTTCCTGAATAATCTTGAGAACGACCTGCGCTTCCACTTGCATTTGAAGTTTCAAAACTACATGCCGTTCACCCTCCGTGGAAAGAAAAGCATATTATGAAGACGCCATAAAATGTTATGGTCGATATAGACCATGTTGTATACTTTACAAGCAGCATTAGTAACTGGACAGATACGAGGCGTTTTATGTAGACAAATCACGAAACTTTTAGAAACCGAAAGATAACATTTCTTTAAGTATGCATTTTAAAGAAGATGTATGTTTCAACCACATTAGTGTAATTTTTTTACATATTTTCTGTAAAATATATGTGAATTTAAAATGACATCAAAAATTCGTAGGAAAACGCATGAATGCATAGCCATTTTTTGGAGAGGACACCTTTTGCATGCAGTCGCAAGAAAGCTCATTCGAAAGCCGGCATCCTGAAGTGACTAAAATATAGGGGAAGTATGTAATACAATGAGTATTAATATTACCACACTACTTAAGGTAACCCTTCGGATCGAAAACACATTTTAAACTTTCAGTCCACATTTAACGAGATAGCAAATATATGGTATGTTTGTTGTCACTTATTCTAGTCTACTGCCTTTTACAGCTTAAATGAGATAGGTTTGTTCGCCTTTGCCACAAATACAGACTGGCTAGTTGGACACAAATGCTTTTTGCATTACTGGATGCTGAACCTTAGCAATGATGGTCAGCAGCCCCAGTTTGTAGTCCTCCTCAGCGTGTATAATCGAAGGTCCAATGCGGACAAGTCATTTGTGCCGGTCGAGAATCATTATTAATTGAATTGGACGTCATTTCAACCCAATGGCCCGTGCTAGTGAAACACGAGACAGTTAACACATAAAAATACAAATATAACCAAGTCATTTAGGCTGGCAGTCCTAA